CAAAGCATCAAATGTTTCATCAATGTGAAGCATCTTCTTTTTTCTACAATAGATATAATAACACAGTCGAATCGATTAGTTTTAGTTTTGTAAAAGTCCACACACATGACCAGAAGCTTTTGATAGAGCACATTTTATTCTTCTTACTCTAAAAGATTCCCCTGCTGAATGTTTGACCCCAGTGACACCTCTGCACAGATCCACATCAATTAAACCTGTGAGGCATGAGAGTTCTCACAGTCAAAGCTTGAAAAGCATGTGTTGTGTTTTTTCTTAAAGGGGTTTGGTCATTAATATGCAACATGTTTATAGCAGAGAGCAAATTATTAATGAAGCCAAACATTAATTATCATCACTTTTTTAATCAGTAAACTGGAGTTTACAGATATTTGCATCTCATCACTGTGTAGCAGCCCTATAGTTTAAATGAACATCTATATTTCATGAGTGTAAACTGTTCAGCATCATTTTAGAAAAACATTTCCTGTAAACATTATGCATATGATTCTGCTGGGTCCATTAAAGGAGGATTGAAATGTATTATGTTTTCTATTTAGAAAGAATAAATCATTATTCTTCCATTTTCCTTCCCACCGCGTGGCTCGGGCTCGGTCAGTCTGTAACTCCCTGGAAAATTCACAACCACATATAGGGCCAATTAGCCCTTAGGGGATATTCCTCTGTGTAATTATTTTTCCTCGACTGACGAGCAGGAAGCGGCATCTCACTCTCTCTCACAGTCTCCTGGATGGAGAACTGAGATAATTACGGGAGCAGAGTGAATCGTTAACACTTCATATCCCACAACAAATTGCAAATAAATGTAGTCATTGTTTTAAAAGCATGAATTAAACCCCTGATGTCAAAATTGAAGTTTACATTAACAGCAGGTCCACAGGAACATATGTCTGGAGGAAATACTCGTAATGCAGCACCACAAGCTCAATTAGTAGAACATTCATTACAGTGAACGCTGCTCATGTCAGTCTGACAAGCAAGGACGTCAATGTAAGTGATTACCTCTAGAGGAATACATTAGTGTTGTCACATGTTAACAATCAAGGTGCCATATGTAAATGTCTCTATATCTGTCTCCTATGAACTCCAGGATAATCAAGAATAATGGAGAATAATTTGTTTCTATGCAATGCAAATTTAATTTGACCTCCGCCAATGTTGTGTTATCACCCCCGACTGTATGGTTGTCTGTTTGTGAACAAGATTCCACTGAAGCTACAGAATGGATTACCTTGAAATGTGGTGGAAGGGTGTGATATGGGTCAGGGACAGCCCCATAACATTTTGGTGCAGATCCATGTTAGCAGGCACATTGAAAGGATCTTTTTCTTCTCAGCTTCAATAATTCATGGATCATCATTGGGAACCAAAAACGGGGGGGACTGATATGCGTAATGTGTGCATAATTTTCAAAATTTAAATGTGGTTTCATAAAGAGTCTTTAGCGCCTTGGCAGAGTTGTGCACTCTACTGAATACCATTCTAGTCATTTCTATGTTTTTGTGTATTTACTCACTGAATAAGGTTACACCTTTGAGTGGGCTATACTAAGGCAGACCGACTTCACAATCAGTACAACTTCACTCTCATGCCAGCAGATCAACAGACACATGGAAACAGAAAATAATCATCTTCCACAAAGCTATTGCAGATAACAACTTCCTAGGGTCATTATCACCGAGCATGTGTTTCTCACATTTGAAAGCAAAGGCAGGACCAAGGCGAGTGTACATTAATGTTTGCTGCTGAGCAGAGAAGGCAGAGTGGTTGTGATGAGAGAAATTGTCCCAGAGCCTGAAGGTTACAGTATATACACCAACAAGATGGCGTTATACAAGACCCCATCAAAAATTTTTACACCACCATAAAAGAAATAGATTCCAGCGCTCTTTGTCAATTACATTTAGTCGGCTGGGAGCAAAGCAACTCATTAAAACGTGCCTTGATTTCATCTGAGACCTCAGAGACATTGCACTGAACACATGAAAGGAAATTAACATTCAGCATCAACGCTACGAGAACAGTGTGGGAAAAGAGAGAAAAATAAAAGATGGAATACCAACGGACACATTCAAAATGTCCAAATCAATCACCATCAGATTAAAAGCATGAGGGGAATTTATATAGCTGGTTTAAACTTACTGTAGCTGCAGCTACAACCCTCTGCACAGGCAGAAATATTTTAATGTGACCACAATGCATTGTTGTGAGATTTTTAAAACCACAAGAAACTGTGTGCAGCAGCTTCAAACATGCCAAAAAAGCTTTTTAATCTTTTAACATTTTGTATTGTTTTGAGTTATAGAACAGTTTGGACTAGACCTTCAGTTTCCATTATTTTTTCTGCTATAATTCGCATTTTATCCCAACAGCACCAATCTCTCCACTTATTTTGACATGACTGGTCATAAGACTCCACCAATTATGTTTCTCTTTCTTTCCAAAAAAGATTCGGCTGGTGAGATTTGACCCCCTTGTCAGTACATATTACAGATCATGAACGCTTCTAATACACAGTGGCGACAAATGAAAAGCTTCACATTTCAGAGTCCCAGGCTGGTTGCCTAGGAACACCATGTACAGTGTATTATAAAATTTACAACAGCCAACTCCCAACAGGTACCATTACCAGCATTTTGCTCAGAAACGACTTGTCTTCATACGACAGCAACACTCTTAATAAATACTTAAAATAAACAGCTGGCTCCAGTTTTTTTTTCTTGTGAATGTCCTGCGATTACATTTCATGTAAGATATGACAAAGCTATTTACAACTTCATGAGAGCAATTTACATTTTTTTTATTTACAGACATTCACAACAGCCAATTATTTGTCCTTAAATCGGCTTATGGCTTCAAATTGACTCAGATCACAAACTAAAAAAAGAGGGATGAGATGCATCACTTCCATATAAGTCAGTTTAAAGTCAAATGTTTCAGCGGCTGCACGTGGGAGATGTTATCAAAACAGAAAGTAGCAAAGAGAGAGTTCCTGGAAGCCGCGCCGTAGCTGAATGCAAGAAGTGACACGGTCATGCGTCCATGCTGGTTAGGTGACTTTGAATGGAATGTGTTTGAAGCAAAACAAATGCACCCAGAGCAGAGTAGACTGTTCTCATTAACACTGCATTACTGAGAGACTACTCTTGTTTACCACTCCACAATATCCTTCTGTGTCGAGAAATTCCTTTTTCTGCTTTTTCAAAACACATCCAAGACAGTCCTGCATCCATTTTCACATCCGTCCAATCTGTCCTGGCTTCACGGCCTCACCAGAGAAATTCCCACGTCAAAGGTCGCCTCAGCCACTTTGTGTTTTATGAGGGTTACTGCTGTCTTCGCTATGCTTGTTTAGTGCGTCCAGTGCATTCGGATTCTCCTTGCGATCCTCCACGGAGCAGTTGGACACGGCATTGGCCACGATGCAGAACTTGCGGAGGAGGATCTCCCTGAAGAGCAGATAGACCCACGGGTCGAGGATCTGGTTGAGAGAGGCCAGGCGGATCGCCGTCAGGAAGAAGTTGCAGTCCAAACTGACGTCCCGGCTGGAGGAGTGAGTGGATATCCCAACTTTGGAGTTGCAGTCGTGGGAAGAGACCTGGGTGGAGATCATCCTCAGCATCAGCACCTGAGGGGAGAGGGCGAAGCAGGCACAGGTTTGTACCAACTGAGGCATGACGGACATATGTATGATTCAGACACATCAGCTGAGAGAGTTAATAGAAATAGTGTTATTTAGGGACAATCTGTCTTTATGAAAGAATAGGAGCACCACTGTGCTGTCACTGCTTCCACGGTGCTGTGGCCTCTATCAATATCATTCTTTGGGACTATTAAATATGTGACTGACAGTGCATGACCTCATAGCACACTGAGCAGACCCCCCAAACAGGACTCGGCTAAGTGGATTGCTCCGTAATGGCAAATGGCAGCAGCATTTCAAAGGAAATACACGTGATGGCTTTAATCTAACTGTGGCTTTGTGTGTTTGGAGCAAAGAGAAGAGAAAGGAAATAATTTACATGTATTAATACTAAATAGTTTCAATATATTTGTAATAAATCTTCAGTTACATCAAGCCATGAATGAGTACAGCAACTATTAGTGTACAGGGATGATACAGTTACAGGGTTTATTGTGGTAAAAGTCCTAACGATTAGTTGCACCATTTCACTCTTTAATAACCGTGATTACCATGGTGATTTGTTTGCTACAACATGAGCTGCTAATGGTCTGGACCTACTTCGCTCAGAATGCTTTTGCTGTTTTTAGAAACATGATTTATTTTTCATTGTAAAACAAAAAGCTTCTTAAGTAGGTTTAAGTCAGGTCCTTCTTCACTGGTAATGTTACACATTTGATATGCTGTTGGTGCTATAGTCATATTTTTACTGACAATAAATATACTACTCAAATCTACAACTTGGTGAAATAACTTCAGTTTGTCAGTTTTTGAACATTGTCAGCACATTTTAAAAACACTGTGATATCATTTCAGTGACATTTTTGGCCACTATAATAAAAGGTATTATTATTTTAAATATAAACTGCTGCTGCTTCATTGTTACAACATTATATCTATAAATACTTATTTTCATTGTAACAACCAGTCTGACTGAGCTTGAATATGAAAAAACAGGTCCTGGTCTCTCTCTTCTCTCCTCACTTCTCTTCTCTCCCCCATTAATCTCAGCTCATCCCCAACCTGTCGAGGCAGATGTCTTCGCACACTGAGTCTGATTCTGTTAAAGAGTTGGGTCTCTGTTGGGTTTCTCTATAATATGTAGTGTAAAGTGCCTTGAGATAAAGTATGTTTCCTGTATTAGTGTTCATGTACTAAAAGTATTGGCTGCAGTGCATTGCCTATAAATAACATACCAGTAAAGGGGACCAGCACACGAGCAGGACGCACATAATCCCTAACAGCTGAATGACGGTCTCCGTGGTGAGTCGCTCCCACTGTTTGGAGGACTGAGACGTGCCAGACTTGGTTTTGCACCGGACAATCAAGCCCCGGATCGTCACTACGTTGCAGGAAAGTGTCACCAGCAGGGAGAAAATCCCCAGCACGGCGAAAGTGATGGCGAAGAACATGTTGCCCGGGACTTCTCTGTCTCCGGTGCTGATAAAGCACCAGGTGCCCGGCCACTGACGCGTGTACTTCCCGACCCCCGCGATGGGCAGCAGCGCAAAGAGCAGCACCAGCAACCAGATGGCAGCCAGGGTCTGCTTTGTCACACTTGTCCTCATGTGGCTGGAGTACCAGTGTGGGTTTGTTATCGCCATGGCCCTCTCAATCGCCATGGCACTGGCCAAGAATAGCGCGCACAGGCCAAAAGTTGTCATGCACACCCCGAAAAAGCCGCACAGTTTGCCCGATGAGTCGATGTGCTCCCAGTTCAGGTCAGCTCTGTAAACTGATATGACTATTGGGCTCGTCAGCAGCTGTCCAAACAGGTCAGTGAGCGCCAGAGATCCAATGCAAAGCAGGAAGGACCTTTTCCTTTTGTTCTCCTTTTTTATGTAGGAGATGTAGACCAGGATGAGAGCCAGCGAGTTGCCCACCATGCCGGTGATCATCATGGTTATAGGGAAACCCACTGATACTGATCCACAGCTGGAGTTCTTGGTGACATTGTCTTCGGGCAATGTCTTGGAGACGTTGGCGCTCAGCATCTCTGCAGCCGATGTGTGCGAGCCCTCCACAGAGTCACAACTGTCCGCAGTCATCCTTTGGGGAAAGATAAACCTACACACAGCAGTGAGCATCCCGTGTGTGTCTCCAGCATCCTCTCAGGCTCCACACTGCTCCAGCCGAACGCACTGTTTGGAGGCGCGTCTGCTCCTTTACGCGCTGGAGGCGGGACTTTACGCAGAAAATCGCCCGGAGGCAACACATACCCTCAGATGTGTGTGGTTAAATAGATTTAATAAATCATAAACTCGACTCCTGGAAACTTAAAGCGATGTTTTCCTTAGGATGATCGTAGTTAATTAACTTCTCATTCACAAGCACTTAAGTGGAACAATGTGCCCGAGACGCACCTGCTGGCCACACTGTTCAACATGTCAGATGGTATAAACAAATCATGGAGTGTTGAACCACAGATGAGATAAGGAGCAAAAAACCTGCTGTGGTCCTGGAAACATTGTTATTATTGTTGTAGGCTCTAAAAAAAGTGAGATATTGAGCTATTAAATCAAAGACATTAAGTTACTGAAGATTTTTGGAGGGAATTTACATTAAAGGAGTTATCTATTTTATATGATGAATATGTTTGATAATGGTTTGAAAGTGTATCTTCTTTTATAAAGGGGTTCTCAATTATGAGAAATGAGAATGGCTTAGAGACTTTCAGGGTGGCAGGAATACATAGCCCACACTACGACATATCAATGAATCAATATTTACTTGGAAAAGTCTCCAAGTAAAGATATTTTACCTGAAACAAATGTTTAGTGATGTCATTAACACTGAATGTTGTGGGAAGCTTCAGTTTAAAAAAAACCCTAATTTAAACCCTCTGTGATTGATTTCTGAAATAAGAATTAAAGTGATCAGTAATTATGTTGAAGCCAGTTTTCTTAAAGATTTCAATTTCAAAAACCTGCATATACAGATGCTTATCACCATATTGTGCCACGTAGACCCAGGGTATCCAGTGTTCATACAGTGATGATGACTCAACTGCAAAAGTCAATTTCTCTGAGCTTCAAACTTCAGTCTCTGGGGTGCTGCTCTTTCATGAACTGTCACTGTACTGCCGAATAATGTGGTATTTTGATTGGGGCTTACAGCTTTTTAATCAAGTACTTTATTTGTGGCATTGATGTGACCGAGCTGAACTTTGGACAGTCTGAGGAATGAGCAGACATGTTGGTAGCTTGGGTTCAGCCTGGTTTGACTTGTCCCTCACACCATCACACGGGTTAAAGCAGCATGAGTGTGGACGCAGCCTGGACCAGGGCTGCAGGAATGGTTTTCTGCAGCTGGGTACAAAGTTATCCATCACTAACTGTGTGTGCTCTCCTTACTGACACTGCACTGTTGAGTCTGATACTGACACTGCACTGAACTCTGAGCAGAACAGCTGCTGTGGGTGGAGAGGGACACCCTGCTGTGTTCACTTACACTCATACATTGAAGGGATTGCTTGTTCTTGAGAACTTAATCTGTATAGCACTTTTCAATACAAGTAACAGAATTAAAAATAATTATAACAAAAGTACAGATGATAAAAACAACAGCACATGAAAAAAGCTGATTAATAAAGATGTGTCTTAAGAAGTGAGATACGATGGGTAACCAATTCTGCAAGTCCAATCTCCTCTGGTAAACTAGCCACAAATTTTCTTTTATAAAAATCACAAATAGATTGTACAAAACTGAGAGAAACTCATTTGTATGAGTTACAGCTTCATCAGATTACACAGACACCACTAATAAAAACATGGTATAATTGCAGGGTTATTTTTTACTATCTGCAGTAAACTTTTACACAATGTTGAATTTACACACCATCAATCTTATGTAGTCTAAATGACCCCTGTAGGCCTACTGGTGTTTTTGCTTTATGAATAAACCAGTGTATTCCGCTCAGTGCACCCAGGGTAGCAAAGTGCCACCTGTTGACCAAACAGAGAATGACAACACTAAATGAGGAGAACATTATCCAGAGCTCACCTGTTCAGTTCTTGGCCTACATTATATTTTATGTGTTCAGTTATTAGTTTTAAGATTTACATTCTTAGCCAAAATGTCAGAGTGTAAATTAGAATCAACTTGTTTCATAGAAGTACAGATTAATAACCCCAACTAACCGCTTTACTAAGCTGTTCAAAACTCTATTTCAGATTTGTGATGTGAAACATTTGCATGGGTGCATTTTCTCCATCTAGACAATAAAGAAGGTCTATTTACACACACAGTTTTCCCAAAAGAAAGGTTTAGTTAACTATTTTGGAGGGGCTTGGGGCTGATGTTTGGGGCCTCCTGCTCAAAATTCAAAAATGGGTGTATAACATACAAGAATATTTAAGTAAATGATGTATTACTGTAATATACTGATGTTATAAATAAACACATGTATATACACTCCATATGAACAGTTGTGAAATAGCTGATAAAAATGTGTAAATGTATTGAAATTGACATGTTACTCATATATATATATTTTAATGGTCAGTTGTTAAAGCTGTATATATACAGCTTTAACAACTGACCATTAAAGGAACTATTCATTAGATGTCACCTTCATAAACTAGATTACTGTGTTGACTATCTCTGACGTCTTCCTGTCCTATTTCCTGATGTGCTCAAAACGATTGATGTTCCAGGATCAATTATACTCAGCAGTCACATTTAACAAACATCGAAACAGTGCTCGATATTTCAAAGTCCTTACCTTGGTCAAATGAAAGACAAACAATAAACAATGGCGACAGGATTTTATTTACATTGTACACTCTAGTTGTTTCACCAGTAAAAAGACTGTAATGGCGTTCTACTATTAATGGGACAAAATGGTTGTTACTGCTAGAACCTTTTGGACCAATCTGGAGAACAAAACTCTGTCTTCATTTTAATTAGTTCCAAAGGTGAAAAAGAAGAGGGATAACTGAGTTGTTAGGTGGGCCTCAACTGGATTAAGCAAAATAAAATAAAATGTATTTCATGCGTCTGGACGCACACATGAAGCATTTTTCCATTGACCAAAGAATGTTGAACCTTTCTACATTTACGCAAACCAAGCAATATCAAAAAGGAAAATACTTACCTTGAAAACACAAAAACAAAATTTGCATAAATCAAGAAAATCAAACAAACGGGCCAAATGTCATTGCTACATCTCGTTTTCTAACTTGGTGCTTCAGTACTTTTTACTCTTTTCTTAAAAAACAAAAAATTAGACTGCGTACGAAGAAAGAACCGACTTTTAAAAATACAATCCCAGATGTTTCCCCACGCCAAAAAAAAAAGTTTTTTAAAATTAACTTCCCCCACAGATGAGTAGAATAAAAGGTACTGCCATTAAGATATTAAGCAGAATGGGTTCAAATGGGATACAGCCTCTTCACAGTTCATCTGTTTATCTTATTGGACCAAACAGTTATGTTTATTGGACACCTTAAGTTACACTTGTCACAGGTTGGGGGTGTATATATGGTTTTGAAAAGGAGCATGATGGGTAACGGCTGAGAGAATTCACGCTACTGCCGTGGAAATAAGACTTTGGGAGGTTGTGTGAAAATGAACAGCATACTCAATGGATGTGGTTGTTTTTTTCCTTACAACACAACATGCACTTGTACTAGGGTTCCTTTTGTCGTTTTAAAGTTATGCCTTTTTTGAACTGGAGCCAGAATGTGAGGATCCGGAGGACTGGCCACGGCATCTGAAATCACAAAAACATCATGGGAAGAAGCACAAGGTCAGCAGGCGGCTCAGTTATTGATGATTCAGTTGTGCAAACAAGAATATTTAAAAAAAAAATTCTATAATAGAGCAAAATGTGAACATATTTCTGTGAATTTTAATTGTCATAAGCGAGCCGAGAGATAATAATAATCAGTGCCAGTGTGGTATTCCGCAGAAACCCAAACCTTTCGGACGAACGTGATCTAGAGCGCCTGCGTTTTCTCCCTCCAGATGAGGACCTGGAGCGGCTGCGCTTCTGTTTCCTCTCGGGCGAGGAGGAGGGTGAGCGGGACCTCTTCCGGGGAGAGGAGCCCTTTCCAGACCTGGAGCTGGATCTTTTGGAGGAATAAACCAAGCACTGGGGTCAGTAAGGTCCAGGCAAGAGCTTCACCAGGATGGGCATTTATCAAGCTTCTCTGAATAAGATCACTGACTTATACTTCTGAGAAAATGTACCTGAACGCTGTATGACTCACTGATTCAAGTAAATATTTAGCTTAAAATATGAAGAGATTTAGAACAGCACTCCTGAGAGATGCTTGATGAAGACCCCCGAGTGTATTCAGCCTATTGAGCCTTTGTAACTTTCAAACTGCATCAAAAACTGCAGTATTTCAATTGTGGCCTGACTGACACCAGGAACAAAACCACTTCAAGTGATTGAAACCCATCATAAAAGTTTGACTCGTGACCAAATTTACAATTGAAGGAGAATGACACTGTGTGGAGAAGTCACTCTGTGTTCAAACTTTAACTGTTGAATAGGACTGTTCTGGAGCTTACAGCCCTACACATACATACACTCTCTAAAGGGAGAGAGTGCATGACACCTCATTCACCTGGAGTGGGACCTGGAGCGAGATCCAGATCTGGAGCTGGATGAGCTTCTAGAGCCAGATCTGAAAGACAAAAAGACAGAATCTTTCCAATATTTTCCAAACAGAAACACAGCTGCACAAGTATTTAATGTAGTAAATCACAGGCCAACTATTTAACTGTACATACATTTTTTGACAGTATCTAGTCTCACTGGAACATATTCAGATGAAAAAAAAAGATAAATCTGTGTGACTGCAGTAATAGAAACAAATCTAACAATCTAATTGAATCAACAGATAAAGAATACACAATAATCAACACTACAAATAAAGCATTCCTTCCATCATAATACACAACACAATAAATATCATTGAATACAATAATTCCATCTGCACATCACTCATCTATCAGCCGGGGGAGGGGGTTCAGAGGAGGGTAC